GCCACCATGTGGTTGCTGGGAATTGAACTCGGGACCTTTGGAAGAGCAGTCAGAGCTCTAAGCCACTGAGCCACCTCTCCAGCCCGTGCCTGTCCCTCCCTCCGTCCCTCCCTCCGTCCATCCGTCCGTCCCTCCCCCCCCCCCAACTCCCGACAATCTAACTACAAGACCCAGCTGAGTTCAAACTCCCAGACATCAGACTTTTAAAGGCTGTGATTGCAGGTCTGCTCTTTGTTTTCAAAATTTATGTAGTGTGTGTGTGTGTGTGTGTGTGTCTGTGTGTGTGTGTGTGAGAGAGAGAGAGAGAGGGAGAGGGAGAGGGAGAGGGAGGGAGGGAGGGAGAGAGAGAGAGGCAGAGACAGAGACGCAGAGACAGATAGAGAGACGGAGACAGAGAGAGAGAATATATATTGGAATATATATTGGATATATATATGTATGGGTAGGTCATTGATTACTTAATGTAATTTATTTTACCTTTAGGTAGGTTGTGGGGATCCAACTAATGTCCTTAGGTTTGCAAGACAAGCGCCTTTACTCTACAGGTAAGTTTCCACTACTCTGACTTATTCTTTCAAATGATACTACTGTCATCAGTCTCAGGAATAGCTGTGGGTCACAGTTGGTTCCAGACCTCATTTCTAAAGAACACACGCACGCGCGCACGCACACACGCAAAGGAAAGGATGCTTTACAGGCAATGTAATAATGTTAAAGTAGACTTAAGGTTGCTGTGATCACAACCGATCCGGTAGAAGAGGTTCCCAAATTACCTATTTAAAATGTAACATTCTGTGACAGGAAAACTCGAAGACGGAGCATAGGTGGGTGGGTGCCTTCACATTCCCTAAACTACTGTCTCATGATTCCAAGGAGTTTGTCTTGATCTCATCTTCAAAAGTTAATAATTATCAAAAAGAACATTAAAAATGTAAGTAAAAACGACTGAGCAAGAAAAAAAGTGCCAGCCGAAGAGCTGGTGCGCCCAAGCCTTGTACTTCAGGGAAAACTGAGCGCCAGCTTGTTCGGAATCCAGCTTCCCACAAGGCGGTTTCTTCATTACTTTACCGTACGGAGTGGCAATTTGTGCAAAATAGAGGAACTTACGGGGGCGACCTGAACATTAGAAGCTGCTGGCTTATTTCTTTCGAGTGACAAGCAGGGGCTTTGAGAGACAGCACCCGCTGAGCGGCCCACGTGGCCAAAGTAAACAGAAGGTGGGCCTGGGCGGGGAGAGCCGGGCGCCACCGAATTGCTGCCGTGTGGAGTCTTTAACGCCCAGGCCCCTCGAGCTCTCCGGGCACCGCCTTGGAGAAATGGGGAGCGGCTTGGCTGGGCGACAGGGCAGGGGGTGGCAGGGAGGGCATGGGGGTGAGTGGGGAGCCAACCGCTGCGGTGCTTGGCAGCGGGAGCGCGGGGAGCCAGGGGCCCCCGGAGCGCGCGGGAGAGCGCAGAGTTTCCAAGTGCATACGAGGCCCCCGCGGGGGACAGAGGCTAGGAGGCCCACGCGCGGGTGTGCGGCCGGCGGCCCGAGGGCTACGGAAAGGCCGGGGCGGAGAGGCGCCGAAGAGGCCCTTAGACCCCCGCGAGGGAGCGAGCGCGCAGCCAGGTCCCCGCCGCGTTCCCGCGAGGGAGCGAGCGCACAGCCGGGATCCTGCCGCGTTCCCGCGAGGGAGCGAGCACACAATCTGGGCTCCCGCCGCGTTCCCGCGAGGGAGCGAGCGCACAGCCCTGGTCCCCGCCGCGTTCCCGCGAGGGAGCGAGCGCACAGCCCCGGCCGCCGCCGCGACCCCGCGAGGGAGCAAGCGCACAGCCCCGGCCCCCGCCGCGTTCCCGCGAGGGAGCGAGCGCACAGCCCCGGCCCCCGCCGCGTTCCCGCGAGGGAGCGAGCGCACAGCCCCGGTCCCCGCCG